TTTTTTTTTTTTTTTTTTTTTTTTAGTGGAATCGTTGAGCTGACATTCCGATTCACAAAGTTGAGAAAGTTTCTGTCATATTAAAGTGAACGAAGTAACAGTCGTAAAACATTGCAAAGTGGAAGAAATGGCGAAAGTATATGAACACCAGAACAGAGGAATGCTCGTGTATAAAAAGAATTAGCAATGTGAATTATTAACTAAACAAATATAGTATCGTGTGTAAACACAATTTGCATTAACACAATTTAATTACTTTACTACACGATAAAATATATGTCCTACTGCTCCTGATTATTCGACCAATTTCAAAGATTAATTCACGTTGCTTGAATAACTTCAATTTAAGACACGTACGATCTTAAATCAGTAATTGAATCAAAACAATATTCCTTGTTATAATAAAGAGTCGTATTAAGTTTCAAAAATATATCATAGCATAAAAGGGACTAAATCAAGGGATGAATCAAAACAAACACTTATCAACATCTAACGACGCCAAACAACAGCGAACTTTCAGCTCCCAAAAACCATACCAAATTTCCACAAACTCTCGAAGCCAAACGGTATCTATACAACTCCACTTTCATTCACCTTGACCTTATCCGTCTCATTTCGCCGATTTCAAACAACGTGCACGTTATTAAACCAACGAGACAGTTGTACAATAGGGCGTTTTCCATCTACCCTCCGCCAAATCCAAAGAAAACCTTTACATTCATCTCGAAGGACTCGCATCCTGCAAACTTTCGATTTTAATGATAATAACGATAATAAAAGCAATAACGATGGCCTCGGGTCCTGGAGCTCGCAGACCAAACGCAACAGGGAAAAGCGGGAGAGAACGAAGAAGGAGGAGGAGGGGGAGGAGGAGAAGGAAGAAAGCTGGACTCCTCGAAAGAGGCGTCTGATCAATGGTGATGGAAACTTCTCCCTTCCTTCCCTGTTCTTCCACCGAGAAAGGAGGTTGTATCACGAATCAAGAAGTCGGCTGGTGGTAGAGGCAAAGAAACGAAGAGAGACGAATTGAAATGACGGCAGACGGAGGCTAGCGCCTGTTACGGTACAAGGCGAATGAGAAGAAGACGGGCAAGACAAGTAGCCTTAAATTGAAAGAGGCCAAAATTGGAATTCTCCTGCCAAACTTGAACGTCGTGCCCCCGGGGTCTGTTTCGAAGCCGATTGCCCCTCGTGCCTGACGCCAACCTCCTACCTCCAGTCTGTTCGATACTGGTTCACATTGAAACAGATAAATTCGTGGATGTTTATACGGAAATTACGAGGGCGACTTCCGCGGGCGAAAGAAACGGGATGCCGATGCAGGAAGCGAGCCGATCGACTGTTGCAAATTCGATCATCTCTCCGAATGAATCGCTATCAAGCTTGGGGTCTGTTGCACACGAACAGTGTAGGTAATATCGTTAACAATGTTTAGCGATTGCTAATAATTTGATAGATTTATGGTCTTAATGATGTAGGGTATGTGAGAAAGACGGATATACTGTGAGTTAAATTTTATTAAAAATGTCATCAATGTGAAATATTTACGATTAAGGCAGAAATGATATAATTATCAAACAAAATTATGCCACCTAATAGGAATAACGTCATAATTCAAAATATTTGAACAGCATTTTATCAGAGAATCCAGGAATGGTTAGTTAAATAGCCAAAGAAAAGAATTTGTTTAATTTTATTTTTAAATAGTTGAGTGTTTAAAAATTTTTCTTCGTTATGTCACTCTTCTTCCATATCATCGGTATGCGGGATGCATCAGTATCAAGGGTCGATCGTATTGGCTGATGTGTTAGGATATAGGAAAAAAGGGACAGATTTTGAGCGACGATGTGGGACAGTTCGAAATATGTTTGAGTAATATGATCGATGAGACGAGGGTTGGACTGAAATGTGTAGCGATGTATGCTGTTTTGTGGTTGAATAAGAATCAGGATAAAATCGATATCTAATGCATTTACTACATGACAGGTTCCATATGACGCAAGTTCGGAAACAAAATTGACGTACAAAATGATGAAGATGGGTTTGTACTTTGTACAAGTACATCGGAAAGTTTCTTGGCATTTTTCCTGCTTTAGCAATATTTTACTAAAATTAAGACAATACACCATAAACCCTACAAAATTTATTATATTTTGACGTATTTATACCGACGAACAAATAAAATCCTTTATGCTTATGTTTTACAAAATACCATATACATATGTACAGGGATTTCATCCAATTATCCGATAATGAGACTCAAACGAGATGAGAAATATCGATGAGATTTAACGAAGTTCCTTTTTTGCAATTTTGCACTTCACCCGAGAACGCTTGAATAACGAGGAAACGAAGAAACCACTGCAAAAATTAGCGTTACAGCTAAGTAATTAGCATGACTTCCAAGAGTATATCGAGGCGAAAAAAAGTTGCTCGATTATCGGACTTGGGATGAATATCGAAATTTCCAGTGGGTGATTATGAAGCAACGATTACAGGAATCAAGATTGATGAGCTAACTTTAGCGAACGTCGCATTATACATCAGAGAAAATTTTCATCGTTCAGCGTTAGTATATTAAGGCTATTAAGTACTTTGAAAGCAAATATATTTATACCGCTTAAGACAAATAAAATAATCTCATAAATAAGGGAATCATAAATAACAAATAAAATAGTCTCGTAAGTAATCATAATTAGATGTCTATGCAAATTTATATTTTTTATGACACCACAATGTAAAAAATTGAAATTTTGTTTATCCATTAAATATTATAACGAACTCCACACTTTTGATATAACAAACCCTGTTAAATAATATAAATAATTCTCAACCAAAAATACAACATCGATCTTATAGCATATGGACATTAGATCCGTACATGAATTTTAAACATCATTATTTGGGATGGCATTAGGCCGCAGTTAGCAGGAGCAACTACATTAACACTCTGCCGATAATCCCGTCGGTTTATCAGACTTTAATCCGATTATATGGCCACCGTATTATAATTGACCACGATTACTAGCTAGCCTATAAGCCTGCTACTTTATTGTGTGCGTGACGTTTGGTACGTTATACTATTTCGTACTGCATTACTATAATGTACGAAACCACAAAAAATCTGCTATATGCATAGGTCTTTGAATGTGCAGATTTGGGAAAATGAAGTTTATATAATACAATAATTTGTTGCTGAGTCGTGTTCGAAGAAAATTGAGGAATCGATAGGATGGTTCTCGGACGTCGGTGAAATGTATTTTATTGAGCTGAATTAGAAATAAGTGTCGTTCATAACCTTGAGAAATTCCGTGATCTTGCATAATGCGCGAATTTCGCTGTCGAAGGAACTTACTTTGCGAAGTTGGCAGACTATTTTGGGACACGCCTGATACGTTCTTTAAAAAAAAGAACTATGTAGCAATATCGTGAGTCTCATTCGATATTAAAATTAAAAAACCAAAGATATTTCGGACGAGATAATATCGTAAATGAAATTAAGTATCTTTAAATAAAATGTTCTTGAGATTCAAAATTCATTTTCCATTTATGATAAATGTACAATAGATATTTCTAAATAAATAGAGGCATCTAATTTCATAAGAATTAAATACGAAAAGAATTTTATAAGAATTAAATATATCGAAAACATCAATTTTACAAATACTTCGATAGATAATAAATATTGTATACGTCAATTAAAACAGTCTTATAATCCCAAAGCTACGAGGGTGGTTAGACTGCCATAAATAACAGTATCACTAACGAGAGGCGAGGACAACGATGGCGAGAGTGTTTATTACCTCGGAAAAAAATGTATGGCGACACAGGTCCTACCTATAACATCTAATACTACTTCAGGGGAGCAAAAATCGATATATCCTCAAACAACTAAAACCAATCCGTTTTTATACACAGATAAATCACGACAAAAAGTAACCACGATAAATTATCATGAGATTAAATTTCAAATTACATAAAAGTACACATTATTGTAAGTATTTAATAGTCACAGCGTATGAAACTATAAAAGCCAACAAATATCCCAAATATAACACGAAGCAGGATAGCGCATAAGAAAAGCATAGCAAAACCATTTCTATTAATTTTTTCATTGTTATCAACTCAGCTTCACAAATATAAGTTTCATGAAAATAGATAATAAATCTATGAAATTTTATAACCATCAATCAAGTAAAGAATCATTTTCGTTATGTTCAGTAGAATGCATACAAATACATATGCACATATTATGGAGGTATTAAAAACACATATGTATATGTTTAATTCCAGACTCAATTAAAAAATTTGCCAGTGCGTGTGTATTGCGTGGTATATTATATGAATATATATTGTATGTTTCATCGTTTAACGAATAAAGAGAGAATTATGCAAGAGAAACAAAACCAATCTCGTGACAGTATAAAATCTTCTGTCAAATATAAAATATCTTTACGTAATAAATATTTATATACAGATATATAAATATAAAAGCATAGAAAATCCCTATACTTGTCAAGAACGTCGACTTCAAGATCATTTAGAACGTTTCCAAAGCAGACGACCCTTCACCCGCCGGTTAAACATTGTCTGAAACCTTGAAGCAACGGTGTTTAGGAAACCATAAATCCCCGTTTCACTTTCAGCAGCGCGCGACCGCGAAATTTCCATCGCGAAGTAGGCGTTCCTGCACGCGCTTCGCCCGCTCCAACTTTCTCGCGGCGAGGCTCTTTGTTAGAGTGATAAATGCGACCTACAGCCGTGCCCGACCTCACGCATAAAATAAAGCGCTAAAGTATTAAGTAGGGCTTACGAGCGAGAGTCGTAACGATTCACCCTCTTGAATCAAGTGGCACCCGTTCCTCTCTTTGTCGCCCTTTCCTCCACCCTTCACGATCCCGCCCCACTTTGTCGCTACTGTTGCGACGAGCACTTTCGTCAAGGGACGGTACTACACCGGTGACAACGAGACGAACGAAACTTTGTTCAACACAGCCAGGTGTACCGACCTTCTCGATCTTTCTTTCCACTCTGTCTTGCTCCTCTTTTTCTTCTTCTTATTTACGACTTTTCTCTCACGACGACCATAACCTCACGTCGCGACGCCTTTATGTTGCAACGCTCATGAAGCAAGTTAGCAATTTACCGATGATCGGGATGAGGTGCCTGACGATGTGACTTTATTGCGTTCGATAGCGATGTCGATTTGGTTTTCTTCTTTTCTTCTGTGTCTCTTTCCACTGCGCTTTGGTTTCCGCACTTTTCCCTGTTTTTCTTTTGCAGGGACGCTGGTCGGTAGATCTTTTTTTATTATGGAAAAACACCGCTTGATTTGTCGGGATTTGTACCGTCTTTTTCGTATTGCGTTTTTTGGTGAGGTGTCTAAGCTCTTATTTTTACTTCACAATAAATCGGATGATAAGAATGTCAATAAGATTACGAACAAGAACTAGACCAAAAAATCAGAATAAAATGATGGAACAGTCAAACTATCCAATCAAAAATTCACCCAATAACCTCGAACAACCCAATCATAACCCAAATATAGCATACGTGCCACATCAGTATACAACTAACAACCGACCAAAGAATTGCAATAAAATCATATAACAATGATACTAACCAACCACGAATTCTGGATGACCTCGTACTCTCAATCATATCTCGATCACCGGGTATTTCCACTATACATTTCACATAACCAGCACGAACTATTCCGTACAAAGATTTTCATTTACAGTTTTACGCGCACCAGGTCAAATTCAGTGTAGAAACTTGCTTGCCAAGACAAAGTAAACCCAGATTCCGGAGCGCGTACAGACGTGGGTGTATGGGCGAATTGTGACGTTTCGACCGCATTTTCGAGGACACCAGGAAGCACAGTCAAGGTGAGCTGTATATTTCGACTGCAAAGGCGTTTAGACGTTGCGCTTCGGGCGATCCTGAGCACCAAAGCTGAGTGCTGGAACAATTATAAGCACCGCCGGAAGTCACCGTGCCTCCTCCACCCTTTTCATCCCGTTTCGCCCTACTCCCGCGTTTCCCTTTCGTCCTTCCGTTCGTTCGCGCTCTGTCAGCCAGCGAAACCGGTCTTCTTCCACCCCTTCTACGGCTGCCAGTCCACCCTCTAACACCATCGTGCCCAGCGGGTATTTTGTCACCATCGTAATTATATTTCTCCCTTCAACCGATTCTTTGGCTGCCACGAGAAAATATCAATACTGCCGGTTACTCGTCGGACGTATCCTGAATCGATGCTGAAGATCGTGGTTGGATTCGTCACGATTCAATTAAAAGCGAAGGACTTACGTTAAGCGTAGAAAATGAGACGTTTAATTTCGATTTATGTTAGGATGCCCTCAAACTGTCGATATATATTGTCAGTATTTCAAGGTTCTCAACTAAAAGGATAAATACGTATTAACGATACGATACTATCCATATTTATTGACAAGCCGCATTTTCGTTCAGAACCTTGACATACAATACTATTGATTACCTGGAGGTACAAGATTTGTGTCCGAAAGTTATTTGGAAGTTTTAATGTTTGTGTTCGAAGATGATTTCTTCGTTAAAAGATTATTGAGATTTTCCGGACGGAATTTTTTTTAGGCATTTCAAAAAATTTGTCTTTATTAATTATTAATCTTGGATATGTATGTCTTTTGGTGCTTTTGTAAGGGGGATTTAATGCATTAAAAATTTCTCACCAATTTGATCGAAAACAAGCATAAATAATGTGTAGTTAGTTAATAATTTGTAAAGTACAATGTTGTGTTTGTTTAGTAAATGCCGATTTAAGAGATGCTCGACAAATTTTGATGTAGGTTCAATCGTATATGACAAAGTGAAGATAATAATTCTTCGTTTGAACATTTTTTTCATTCGATAAAGTTACAATGCCCTCGCGTATCTTCGTGATTCCGAACAAGCAAACCAAAATTGATATTCTCTTCCGCTGACAACGAGCCACGATTAAACCAGACGATGAGCGAACTGTTATGATACAGTAACACGATTACCGAACAATGCACGTTTATTGAACCAACAGAATTTGAATAAAGTCTGATCGAATAGGTACCGATGCATCGTTGTACGATTATCTGAACCCTTTTAGCAAGTAAAATACTGATATTTCCATGTTATCATTGCACTCATGGAACAAAACTTCCCATTGAAACTTCGCGAGCTGTATGATTAAAAATATACGAAATTTAGTTACTGGACTGTGGATTTACGTAAATACATAAGTTGCAGTATATTAATTGCAATTTAAAGTTCATAGAAAACTCACGTTTTCGATAGTAGGACTTGGTAGTGCCCACTGAACGGTGGATGTTGCACCCGCAGCGCTCGCAGGGCGTCTCTTATTCACGAAATCGACTGGTAGACTGTAATCGTCGCACAGGGAGACCTGAAAGCAAAAATAGGGTTAGATACGATGGCCACAGATGAAAGAAAATATGATAAGTCACGTTCTCCGACTTTTATAAAAGATAATATTAAAACTTAATACATTATTAACCGATTGATTCTGTATCAAAATTATCTTTGCATTCCATTTTAGGATTACTTATGTAACTGCAACAGCCCCTTCATTTCTATCACTATCAACAAAATTCATAATAAAGAAAATATTTACACATTTGTGCGTAGCCTAAACAAGCACGTGACAGGGTTATTACGATTAAAATCAATTAGTCACACCATCGTACTTAACCAAGTACACGGTCCCAGCCGTGGACGAAACTCTAACGCGAGCGGAATAAAAATATTGCCGGGTCGGTCATTAAGGGAACATTTCCGAATTAATTCGGATAATCGTCCGGTCGTCGTTCCACGCACGCAGGAAGCCCCTCGTTCGCAATAATTTCCCGCTATGCAGGGAGAAAGGACAAAAAAAAAAAAAGAAGGAAAGAGAAAAAAGATTACCCGGGCAGTGCGTTAATCCTCAGCAACGTTGGAGGCAACGCTGCTGCCTCTCCCAAGGTACCTACGTAGATACGACTCAGTTGGCAAAAATCTCCGATGGAGAGAGCGGAAAAACAAAAATCGCGAGAATAAAGAATGGCTGAACAGACGGATAAAGACTGAAACTTGGGTAGGATAGAGGAGGTGGCGAATATAGGGGGGTGGTTGGCAATGGTATAGTGCTGAGTAGCGCGAGGATTCCTGCCACTCGACAAATCGCAGGGTAAGCACCCTGTCCCCCTCAACTGCCGGCCCTAAGTCCCAATCGTCGAGGACCGGACCAGCTCATCAGCGATATTTACTGTCTGCCTGGAGAATCGATCTATTGATGGTCGCATCTACTGTGCACCCTCGGTGCCACCCTTGTCTTCTCACCCCCTCTCGTCCGAGCGACAGCGGTGGCCGCAGTCAGAGAGCAGAGCCACACGGACCACCACCTACGTCTGTGCATGCATATAAATCGAGACAATCGCGGATCCCCGGGGGCGGCTTATCGCGCTGGAGTTGAGCCGCGGTGGGGTGGCCGAAGCGAGCGCCCCAGGGAGACCGGGCCACCC